AACGAAAGGAGACTGCGACCACACAAAAGGCCACACCATCTTGGTCTTTATACCATGGAGGCATGCCTGTATCAAGGAAATTCAACAAAGAGGTACAGCGAGCAGACGAAAGGCACTTGCGTGATCAGGGCATGACCATGAATAAGTTATGTTTAGTTACGATAATCGAATCGGTAAGGGTCGCCTAAAGATGCCGGTTAAGGTGACGGGTTGAGTATAATAATAGTTTTGTGCATTTCTTGTAATTCAGCCCTAGGCTTTTATGATCAAATATTTAAAGAGTTGTTGCTTATCTACGATTGTTGATTTCAGGATATTATGCAAGCGTGCAACGGCATGTCGGCCGAGTATCTCTTTCAAAAGGACAAGCAATATGATACAAGCTACGACACTGGCGACAAGGCTATTCAGTGTGGCCGTCGAAATGACATTTTCAAGCTGTGGCTGATGTGGCGGGCAAAAGTGAGTCATCGAACTAATGAACGGCTTTCTGTGACCTGAATCCTAGAGTTTCCCCCAAGAGCTATGATATGCAAATACAGTTGCCAAGCCAAATGATTAAGAAAAGAGAAAAACTTGTTTTTATGAAGGCAGTGGTATGAAGTCCGTACTTAACAGTAGAGATACAGAAATGAGTCAATGTGGATGGAATAGTTTTAAATTGAGATCTCTGTTGTAGTAACTCAAAGTAATGACGGGTGATTTCCTACCATGACTTACACAATTACATACATCCGTCCACCTCACGCACACAAAAACCAACATCAAAGCACTCAATTTTCGTTTGCAAGTAGGTTTAGTTAAGGAGACCCAGGAAAGGCCAAAGTTGTAGTAAAACTGTAATCATAATTCCCTTTAGAAAGAGGGGCTAAGTAAACTTAATTGGAAGCATTAGAGCTATTAACATGAGTATGGAAAAATTAAACTATTAATTTTAATCACACTTTATCAGGGATATAGTGAAAGTAAAAGAGTTCCTCAGTTTAAATATTCTTGGAAATTTGTTAGTTTGTAATTTTTATATGAATGATCTCCAGGTAAAAAGATGCCTATCATATTGCGAAAACGACGGAATTTTAATGTGACATAACTTTCCATATTAAAGGAAAATTTGGTTGAAGGAATGTGTGATGTGGTCCCACCGGAAATCGAAGGATGATTGCCGCGTAAAGAAGATTGTTGAATTGTGCGAAGAAGTCCTTGACTCATCATCCTGCGACCCCGATAAACCTGTGTTAACTTTCGTCTGTATCACTCTGGCAGACATCCTCAGAGCAAGAATCCATACTTTACGAAATATAGCACAAATATGCTAGACCAAGAGAAAAGCTGGCTGGCTGAAACCCTAATCCTTTTTTTATACAACCAACTTCGCGATTTTAATGAGGCATCCCATGATTTCGTTGGCTAATTCAACCTTAATCTACATGCTTGCAAGTGAGTAAAGTTACTTCACGAACCGGAAATGAGTTCAGTGGCAGTTGTTTCCCTACCCAAATAAACTACCGTACGATCCCTGAGTGTTGCTTCATGTTTGGGCTTCTGCTATTGTTTTTTGTGTGTATGTAATGTTCATGTAATGGGAAATGTGATGATCGTAGCTAGACACGTGGCTAATCTAGCCTCATTCTCTTGTTTATTGGCTCTACTTGCAGCCCCTCTCCCTCCCTTTCTCTCCTAAAGTCTATCCAACAGCCACAAATAGTTCCTACTCAATTTCCTACACTCGTTCTTCCTATTCAGGACGTTGGCTATTTCATCACTTTCTATAGACTCTCTAATCTTACGCTTTGATGCGGAGTCTCCGTAACCAGCAAAATGTGTTTTGGGCCAGTCCATTAAGTGTTTTGTAGTGGTCATGTATTCCGCGAGCTCAGAATTTTGTCCACATACACCTTTGCAAGCGGATTTGTGTTCGCATTGTCTCTTCTGGATGGATAGGCAGGTCTCCCTACACAGGCACTACTACATGAGCACAAAACTTTGTTGCCGCCTGATTTAGAAAGAGGGTCTGAAGATTCTTTGAACGAAGGACCTACCGAAGTAGGTGTTACTTTCTCTTCATACAGTATGTTTATGTTCAACTTCCTCAATGTACTTAAGGACAACATTGTAAAGTTACGCTCTTTAATCAGAACTAAGATTAAACTTAGGAAAATCTTGTGCAAGGCTCTTATTTCGGAAGATTTACTTAAGCTGCAAAGAATAGCTGGAAGGTTACATGACAACGTTTTTAGACAGGTTAGAAGGAAACATGATAAGAAATTAAAAAATGTGTATAAGAGTTAGCTTAAGGAAACGGGACATATCTAATGAATTGAAAGGTAAGGATAGCCGTTGCCAAAAACGGTAAATCTGTCCAAAACTTTATTGGACATTTCTACTGAGGAAGTCCTAGCAAGGTGCTTAATCTTTGCCTATTCAAATGGTTAGAATTTTAAGGGCAATATTTTGCTAGAATTGATTCGTTTAACATATAGTTTCCCAGTGGGTACTAGGAATGACATTGAATTACAAGTTATCCATTTAATTGATGGTTATGTAGAAGCACCATATAAGAATAGGACAGTTAATACTATTATAGGGAAGCTTAAGACGAATAACCAATTTGTATTAAGTGCAGACAAAGTAGGAGCCTTAGTAGTTATGGCTAGGACTGAATATGTAGATAAAATGTTAGGGGCATTAGACGATGATACAACATATTAAACCCGACAGAAGGCCTTAAGGCCAGACTTAGGGGTTTTCTGAAATAATGTATAAACAGTGGATAACTGGAAAAGTGGAAAATAAACGCACATCTTTAGCGAGATACTAGACTTCCAAACGAGTATGGTCTGACCAAAATTCATAAGCAATGTACCCTACTTAGGAGAAGTGGTATAATGACTTTTACGAATTTATAAAGTTAGTTGATGATCAGGCGATAGAAAGAGGAGATTTGCTGGTAAGTTTCGATGTAATGTCTATATACACTAGCATTCCGATAAACAAGACTATGAAGGCCTTAGGATTAGCTCTAGATCATCACCCTGAAATTATGACAGAAAAATGTTAGGCAAAGATTCAATCATTAGATTTGTCTATTTAGCAAGGTATAATACATATTTTACATCCAATGATAAGTTGTTTGAGCAAATACGGAGATGACCTAGTTAATTTTTCGAAAAGAACTCTTATATATCAAGTTATTAGATCGTTATATGAACGATTACTTTGTTGTTTTGTAACATAGCAAAGATGATTTGAGTGAATTTTATGAGCTAATAAAGACATTTTTCGTATAAGTAGAGTTTCGAGACTACTGGTAAATCAATTATATGAGATGTGTTTACCCTATTTCATTTAAGGTGGTGAAGGACTGGTAGTTGATCTCATCAAAAGTGGACTGCAGTTTCGACCTCGCATAGGTTTTATCAACATCCCCAGCGGAAGTCGAACCGTGACAGTGCAGCATATCAGCTTAACACGTTAACCACCACATTGCCATAGCAATGTGGAAAGCTCTATGCATATTAA